TCACATTGATGTGATGGCAATTAACATTATTGTACTTAATTAATCAGACACGGGCGTTAAAATGTATCATTTCATGCAAAAAGAGCCATTATAAAAGGGTGAAAAAAAAATCCTTGCAACATTATCTTTGACCCCATTGATTTTGTTGAGAATTCTACTGATTGGCCAGCGCCAGACGAGTGTCTTTGCTGTCCGATCAAACTCAAACACTCGCGCTGTTTGTTCATACATATTTTCAATCCATAAGCAAAATTAAATTCTAATGGTAAGACATCTTGACTTTAACGATAACAAAAAACTAAAATTATCATCGATTTTAATTTACTATTCATCTACTTACATAAATTATCATCTATGAAGTTTCTGTTTTTTGCTCCTTCCGAAGCCTTGTGGAATAATTGGCCAGTGTTGGCTCCGCCGAACTGCCTGTCTCCCCAACTTTGGTCGGGGTCGCCGGCCTGAAGCGACTAGCCTATGTCCCCGGGAGTCCGCCGGCCCATCGATTTGTTTGGTCTCATGTGCGTCCATCGTTGCGTCCAAGAAGGGCCACCCACTCTGCCGCGCGCAGCTGTAGGTGGTCTCTTCTTCGACCTCATATTAGAGCCCTTTGGCGTGGCTTGTCGGTGCTTTCGTGGTGTCTCCCCCGCCCCTGGTGTTGATGACCTTCGTAACACAAATCTAGACTGAGAACTGCCTCTTCGTCATGTATGTGCGGTTCGAGTTTGGCTGCAGTTTTTAAGTCTGAGGTCTCGATTTGCTGTTGTGATGAGCTTCTGTGCTGCGGTCCGTGACTTGATTGCCCGTTTGGATGGTCGTACGGTGTGCCTGCTAGGTTTAGGGGAGGTGTTATTGTACTTGTTTATTATGTGTGTGTTGTTTAGTTATTGTCTTCTGTGTTTGTCGTTTTGTTTAGTCCAGTCACGTCTGGTTCTAGTCTCTTATATGGAAATTGAGTCTGTTAGTATCCATGCCATGCACACGAGCCAAAAGGATCATCATATTTGTAGTTGCCACCTTGGTTCACAGCAGAAACAACAAAAGGAGAAAAATTGTCCCATACATCACCTCATGCAAGAGGACAAAACCACCAGCTCACCTTTAGTATATTTTTTGAATTTTTTACCTAGTATTTTACCTTGCACTAGATGGATAAGGTAGATGCCATTTGTGTGGCCTAGATTGGTTTATCTAGAATGATCTTAAAACCTAGACATCTTGTATAAAAGGCTCTTTAGCCGTCTGATCAATTCAGATTGGAATCATATCATCATTCTCCAAATATCTTGCCTCTGTCATTGAACGGCTTATTCTTTGATTTCATTCTTTTCATTAAAATGGCTCATACCATATTTTTATATGGTATCAGAGCAGGGTAGGGCCATTTTCCATTCTCTCATTTTCTGCATCTCATCATGGAATCAATCATCAATAATCAGAATGATACCCTTATCCATCCACAAAGCCAACTTATTACCATAAAACTTTCAGATTCGAATTATTTATTATGGAATCAACAAATCCTTGATGCAGTAAGAGGATATGGTCTTGAGGGATTTTTCAATGGAACATAAACTCAACCAGATGAGTTCATCACTGATGCTGCTGACAATACAAGGAAGATCAACCCAGCTTTTATCCTCTGGACCAGGCAAGATCAACTCTTGGCCTCATGGCTTCTGTCATCCCTCACTGAGTCTCTTCTCATCACCACAGTTGGACTTGAAAGCTCCAAGGAGATATGGGATGCTCTTGAAACTGCCTTTGCCAGCCGCAACACAACAAAAATCATACAATACAAGCTGAAACTTCAGACCATGAAAAAGGGTGAGCTATATATGAAAGACTACCTCAACAATGTTAAATCTTGTTGTGACTTTATTATTGCTGCTGGTCATAAGTTATCTGAGGAGGATCAAGTTTATCATATCCTAGCTGGCCTTGGTAGTGAGTATAACCCTGCAATAGTCTCACTCATGTCTAGAGTTGAACCAGCAAAGCTGAGAGAAGTGCACTCTTTGCTCCTAAGTTTTGAAAACAGATTGGAAACTGTTGATGGTTTGACACTGAGTGATAACAATCAGTTCTCAGTTAA